CACATATCAGGGGAATGTTATCATATCATTAAATATTTTTAAGAATATGATTTATAATGATAAATACTGATTGGGTTCTTGTAATGTATCTGGTACTATTTTAGGCACCAAAGACATAGAAGAGAACAAGATAGTTCCTACCCTCAAGGAATTTATACTGCAATGGAGAAAGATAGGCAATGAACCTGTAAAAACAGTAAATAAATGATATTGTTTTGGATCTAAGTGCTTTGAAACAGGATGATGGACAGGACTGGGCAGGCTACCTTGCTTTCAGGAAGCTCTCTTGAGAATGGAACTTTTGAGTTGATGCCTGAAGCTGAGGAGACAGTCACACAACTATCTTGGGAAAGAGCTGTGCAAGCAGAAGCAACAGAAAATGCAAAGACTCTGAGACAGGAATGAACATGACTTGGTCTGGGAACAGAGAGAAGCCTTGATGGCTGGAGCTGGGTGAGGAGGGGGATTAAAGACAGAAATGGGACTGGAGACCCAGGGAGGGGCCACATCACGTAGGCCTTGCAGGAATTGGGATCTTACTCTAACTGCAGTGAGAATCCACTGGAGAATTTTTTTGAAAGGGAATGACACGATGTGATTATAGGGACATCACTTTGATGGCTGAGTCCCACAGTAGAGGCAGCAGAACTATGTCAACAGGCTGTCACAGTCATCCAGACAGAGGTGATGTGGGCTCAGCCTAGGATGTCGGAAGGCCAAGAAGCAGTGGCAGCCTCAGGACATAATCTGGTGATAGAGCTCATGGAAACTTTTTTTGGGGGGTTTCAGATGGATAGCTTTTATTACTTATTTACTATTAAAGATGTGGACAACACAATGAATATGCTTGCTTCAGACATATAGAGGACTCTGCGTCCTATAACGAACGAGTCCACGTTCTTCACAAGCACACACAAAACACTTATACGAAATGACTATGGACTAGTCCACAAAGTAAGTCTCCATAAATTTCAAAGATGTGAACCTTTAAAAATCTTTGAAGTTCTAGAGATTTAAGTCTACAACAATTTTAATATTAGTGTCAGAAAACTCCTAAGGAAAGAAAACCTTTCAACTTTAAAAAATGATAAACAATAAGAATGCAAATTTCACTGACTCTGACTAACAGCAGGCCAGATTTTGGTCCCAATGTGATTAATTTCATTCTTAATGCTATTGTTGAAAGTATTTAAAGGCCTGGGCAACTGACTCCAGCCCACATTCTCCCTCCACATTCCAAGTAGATCAGGCACTTTTACGCTTGTCTCATCTTCACTGAAAATTAAGTTTAGTGTAATTAAATCTTTATTTGAAAACAAGAGTATGCAGTACTCACTGCACTATTAAGCCTACAGAAATCTAGGACAAATTTGGTCAGGAATGTTAGGTCAAGGTAAAGAATCAAGGATTACATGAGCAAGCATGTATTACTAGATGGTGTTACCATTTACTGAGACGAGGAAGACTTGAAGAGGAGCTGTCTTTGGAGGTTAAAATCAAAGATTCTTTGTGGACAAAGTTGGCTTGAGAAGTCCATTAGAGATCCAAGTGGAGATGTTGAGTAAGTAACTGGATAAATGAAAGAGGAGCTCACGGGGAATCCAGGCTGGGTACATATAAACAAGCCTATACATCAGGTAGGGTCATCCAGGAGAATGCATGGTTGAGGAGAAAGAGGGCCAACGGCAGAATCCTGAGATACTCCGGCATGCACAGTACTTATGGCGTTGCCTCCTCACTAAACATTCATGTGCACTCCCACATTTCCCATCACCTCTGCAGTTACGTAGGGCCATGTTTGTAGCTCTGGACAATGAATGAAGGAATCAACTAAGAACTGGTTCAAGACCCTCAATTTCTCTCATCTCCTGCCTCAGCAATCATGAATTCTTGTGTTAAGGTCAACATGTCTGCCAACTCTGGTACCTGAAGGACTGTGGCCCAAAGATTCTTTCTGATCCATGTCATACATACAACATGAAAGAGAAATAAACCTTTATGTGTTAAGCCACAGAAATTCCAGGGTTCATTTGTTATCTCAGCATAACTTGGCCTATCCTGATTAATTCAGAATGCCATTATGTGATGTGCCTCAAGAAAGCATCATTTTTCATTGAAAAAAAAAGGCATATGTGATTTGATAGGTTGTCAGCAAAAGTATATCAGTGGTTATTTCCAGCTTCTATCTAAAGTTTAAGCGAACTCCCTGTTCCAGCTGAAGGGCAATCCTTGAACTGTTGCATGAATAATTCAGGACAATGTTCGTTCTTTCAAAGATGCCTCATTTCTCAACCTGTTTTTTCCTCCTGACTCTTCAAGTTTATGAATACTTTGGCTTTTAAAATGTATTTCTTGGATAATTTTAAAAAGTAATATTGGTGGGTGCTTTGTAACTTTCTAAATTTCTCCTAAAACAATAATCCCCTCCCATATGTCGGCTTTTTGTAGATGTATGAGTCATTTGACTATTGATCAAAATAGATATTCCTCATTCATTCATTTGACAGATTTTAATTGAGTCTTTACTTAGGAGCCAGGGAAGTAATGAAATAGAGCTAGCACTTACACTCATGGTTTATAAGTTTTGATATTACCTGGAGTACACTTTACCTGGTGTCAAACTCAGTTGAGATTTTAAGAGGTGGGAAATTAGTTAATCTCTATGTGCTTTAATTCTTCATCTCTAAAATGGAAATAATAACCCTTACCTTACAGAGTTATCATGAGTATTAAACGAGACAAAGTGGAAGGCTATTTTTATTCAGGCTTTAGAAATGCACTTAGACCACCTTAAAGAAAAAGGAGTTTTACTGTAAAAAGTAAAATCCATCAGGCGTTTGGTACTATGGCAGCTCAAGGGACTAGTGACCACGTACTCTTTGCATTACTCACTTATGTCTGTGTCTGTGTGTCTACTTAGTTCTTCCCTTCCCTTTGCTTGTTCTTACCCTCTCCTCTGTGAATGTTTCTCAAAGCTATTTACGGTTTCTGTTTTTTCATAACGTCAATCTATATCCCCCCTCATAGCCCTAACTTTATCTTATGGTTTCTTTCTCCCATCCAAGTAACTAACCAGGCCTGGCCCTGCTTAGCTTCTGAGATCAGACGAGATCCAGTGCATTCAGGGTGGTATGGCCATGGGCTATCTTATTGTTTCTTTCTAAGCTTTCTGCTTCCACCCTCACAGATAACTACCTAATTAATTTCATCTTTCAGTTGAAATTTCCAGGAGGATTTGTTGTACTGATTCATTCAGAACATATATTTGGAGTTTCTACTATACACAGGCAATGTACCCCCATTGTAATGTGGGCCCCACTGCGAGGGCCTTCTGAATTATCTCTCCACTGTCATCCTGAAAATGCTTCCTGTTTAGCTGGGAGCTGTTAGAGATGCTGAATTCGGCTCTCACTCCAGACCTACTAAATTAAGAATCTGTGCTTTAGCAAGATCCCCAGGTGACTTGTGTGCACATTTAAGTTTGAGAAGCAATGCTTTAAACTTCCAGCTCTCAAAACTGCTGCCTGCATATTGGCAACAGCTGGGGATTTAAAAAATACACGTACTTATGCTTGGGTCTTTCCCCTAGAAGTTAAGATTAGTTTTTCTAGGGTGTAGCCTGGCATTCAAAAGATCCCTAGATGATTCTAATGTGCAGGTGGGTTTGAGGACCTCTGAACTAGTCCTGTGTCACCACTGACCAGCTGTGTGATCCTAGAAAAATTGCTTAGTTTCTCTCTAGGCCAGATTTCTCATTTAAGTGAAGATATTGTAGCCTATCTTGCCTACCTCAGAATTGTTCTGAAGGCCAAATGGGATAATACATGTGAAACTGTTCTGAAATGTGTGCCAATGAATCGAAATATCTCATGTATCACTTAACTTCTCTAAACCTATCTTCTGATTTACAAGTGAGGATTCAAGGAAACAAATGAATTATCATCAAATATGAGAATGTAGGTAAAAATGCGTGGAAGACAATGCTACCTAGCTAACATTATTAAGTTTTATCTATGTCATTGCTAGGTACTGTTATCCCAGTTACCTATCATATAGCTAAGGATTAGAGGTTAAGTAATTCTCTCAAGGCTCCGAAAGCTGTTAAAGAGAAATTATTCACCTGACACTTGTTAAAAATGTCAAGGAAGATTTTATTCAAGACTATTGCAATAGGGAAGAGGGACTGAAATGACTCTAGAATAAAACTGGCACCAGTGGAAATCTATAGCCGGGGGCAGGATGGAAGGGGTGAGGGAGAAGATGGAAAATTACTAAAAGGAGCTCGGTGAGGTGTTGAGGGTGAGGGAGAAGGGGAACTGGACTAGATATCGAGGGTGTTGGAAGAGGAGCTTGACGGAGTATCAGGAGTGAAGGGACCCTTGATAAACTGGGTTAGCAGGATTCTTTGGTAAAATCGGCTTCGGGGTGAGACTAAGTTTAGAAGAGGGCTCAAAAGAGCCTGACTAAAGTCTGTTCAAGGAAGGAGTCTTTGTCAAAGCGCAGCTGGGACTAAAACTGGGTAGGTTTAAGTGTATAGACTTTGCTGTCCCTACTTCCCCAAGGTGAGGGATTAATAGCTAAGCCTCACAGAACGCAGTTTGTCTGGCGCTGTACACCTGTGAGGTTTCCTCCACTGGCCAGCTATAAGACTACCGTTTGCATTCCAGCCTCAAATCGGATCAACCACAAATCAGACCCTTGCCTTTCTTATCTACCCTGAGTCTGCAAGGATAGAAACTTGCCCGGGCAAAAATCCCAGCACTGACTCCGGGGGCGGGGCTCGCACGCACCTTGCTGCGCGCCAATCACAGGCCCGCGCGCAGGGGCGCATGCGCCCCAGCCCTGGGCGGGACCTCATCGTCCCCCAGTCTCCTCCGACCTGTCAGCCTCCCGCTGCCCTGATTGGCCTTCGGGGGATGACGCACTTGGCCGCCTCGGCTTATGGCGGCGGAGCCGGCTGGCGGCTTGGCGGAAGTGGTGTGGCTGAGGTGGCCCCGGGGTGCAGGCACGGCGAGGCCGGACGCGGGCGCCGGCGCTGGAAGATGACTCGCTTCGCGCTGACCGTTGTCCGGCAGTGAGTACCGCTGTCGCAGGGTGCCTTTCTCTCTCTCCTTGGAGTGTGCTTCGGAGTGGAGGGGACACTCGTCCCCTCTCGTCCCCGCTTGCTCGACCCTCGGAGGATTGGCTTGGAAGGGGCTCTTTTCGGGGCGCTTTGGTTTGGGCTGCCTCATGTCGACCCCTCCTCCTGCCCCAGCAGCCCCTAGTGAGGACGGCTGGTCTTAGATACCGTCACTCTGGTGTGTTCGGATGAGGAAAGTGAGTTCCAGAGGAGGAAATGATTCCGCAAGGTTCCCAGCCACTTGGTGGCGGAGCAAAAGCTGAAGAAAGACAACCATGTCTCCAGAGTGCTCTGGGCACCCTTTTTGCTCCCCAGCAGATTCCAGAGAGTTTGCAGAATTGCTCGTCCATGGCTGATATTTTTGATGCTGGCTGCCTTGAGCTCTCCCCTTTCTCCGTCTCTGCTGTTCCCCCTCGTTTCCCCTGGCAGTCAGTCCCACAGGCATGTTTTGAGATTTGTTTCTTCCCCCAAGAGGTTACAGTTCTGGGAGAGAATAAAAGGGCCTCCGCCCTCGGCTCAACAGACCGCATCACCCCGAACAGATGTTTCTATTATCACAACAGATTACATGGAACTGAATGCTGATATGTCTTTATGTCTCTTATGTTTCTCCTCAACACATATTTGCCAAGTGTTAATGGGAGGTGAAATTCAGGGTGGTTAAGAGTGCAGATTTTTTAAGCCGGATAGACCTGGGTTGGAATCCGGGCTTCAGTTTAGGAGCCAGGTAGCCTGGGGCTCAGTTAACCGACTTAATCTTTTTGACCTCACTTTCCTGATATACAAAACGAAGATAATGATAATACCTATCTCATTGGGTTATTGTGAGAATTAAAAGGGGGAAAGGTAAATTGCATGGCACAACAGAGGGGAAGAAATATATCTGAAGATTAAATAATTTGTATTTCTGTAGGGAGAGCTCTAACAAAAACGCAGTTGATTCTCAAATACGTATGCACAGTTTGTCAGACCAGCATTTTGAGTAGCTACTGTGTACCAGTGGACTGGGTCATACAGATAAATAAGATACCCTTTCTGCCTTCACGGAGTTCACAAGGAATACTAATATGATTTAAGGTTGTCAAGATGACTTTAACTGCTGTCTTTTCTGTCTTCTTCCTTTATAAGGAGATAATCTTGAGAATCATCTGAAATTGTCCTTTTAGGAGTCACAGGATTTTAATGACTAAATTAGAAATCTAGTTCCTTCCTATCTCTTCTCCACTCTCCCCCCCCTCCATTTTATAGAATGCTTTGGGAGAATTCTGGACTGACTTAAGGTTATACAGCAAATTGGTAGCAGAACAGGAACTAGAGTCCTGAGAGTTCTTTCTTCCAGTCTTAGAGCACTTCCTGGATGCCTGCCCCAGCCTGCACTGTGTCACACATTTTACTGAAACTCAGGAGTTGTGGGACATCTGGGTTAAGGCCCCCCCTTGAAAAGTCAAGTGACTCCTATTTAGATTCTTAATAGACAACAGCAGCACATGTGAGTATTTCATTCTCTTCCTGCTGCTTAACAAGGTTTGACTGTGGAGGCCCTCACAGGAATCATTGAAAAAAGAAGTCTTAATAAGCGAGTATGTGCCAGGCACTGTTGTGAGGTGAGGCAGCTGAGACAGGCCGTGTAACTTGCCGAATATCACAGGGCAAGTTGAGGAGGTAGGATTTGAACCAAAGCAACTTAACCACACACTGTCTTTTGCCTTCTATTTTATTGTGTTAAAACCTAGTATTTGTATTAATAGATTATTGAATATCACCAGCTATTTTTGAAGCTACTTTTTTTTTTTTTGAGACAGAATCTTGCTCTATTGCTCAGGTTAGAGTGCAGTGACCAGATCACAGCTCACTGCAGCCTCAGACTCCTGGGCTCAAGGGATCCTCCTGCCTCAGCCTCCGGAGTAGTTGGGACTACAGGCATGTGATGCCACGCCCGGCTAATTTTTCTGTTTCTTGTAGAGACAAGTCTCCCTATGTTGCCCAGGCTGGTCTCCTGGTCTCAAACTTCTGGCCTCAAGCAATCCTCCCACCTCGGCCTCCCAAAGTGCTGGGATTACAGACATGAGGCACCACACCTGGCTCAAGGCTACTTTTTATTCCCCTAATATAATTGTGAGGAGTGATAAGAATTGTTTTGTACTGTTTCATACTTAGGAAAACGGAGTGAAAGTGTTGAGATGACCAGTAGGGCTGTGGTTTGCTGCTTTCCCTTCTGGGCCATCCTCTTCTCGCCTTCAGAGCTCTCAAAGAGAAACGCTGGTAGTTCTTTCAGGAAAGGAAATGATTTCAAATTTGATTGATAATCATCATAGTTAAATATAATGACTTTCGAAGAGTTAGATAATTTTACCTCTTCAGATAATGCAAGAAAACTTTAAAGGAATTTCTTTAAGTTCAGCAAAATCCTTTGAGTCTTGTGCTGTTGTTGTGTGTTTATCTTTCTTCACCATACTTTGAAGTGAAAGTGCCAGTGTGTATCATTTTTGGAACAGAATGCCCAAGATTCCAAAATTCAAGTCTATTGTAATCATTAAACTGTACTTCTTATGATCTTATGGCATAGCATTGTGGAAAACTCCAGTATAGGTAGCTTGGCGTTACCATCACCTACAAAACACCATCAAAGGCCCTGGTTCCTTTAAAGGTTATTTGAAGGTTTTTGCAGTCGGTCACCTGCGAAATCATCCATTCACTTCCATTTTAACCAGCTCTTAAAACTACATTTTTTTTTTGTAAACTAAATTTAATTTACTTTTGATGATTTAAAGATGATGAATTAGTATAGTTATTGATAGAAAAACTGATTTGTTTTTCGTACTGTACCTCTATGGGTAGTTAACTTGCTTTTTGTAAGATGCTAGTCATTGTTCTGGACATTAATAAAGCAAGCAAAATAATATGAGATTATCTGTAATTTAATACTGTCATAAAGATATATGTAATTGTTAAGTTACTGTGATATTTGTTTTCTGGGTATGGGGTTGATCAATTGGGGAGAGCCTTTGCAACTAGGACTAATCTATATTTAAACAAAGATGTATCATGAGTTGGGTTTCTTACAAGGTTTTTTTCTCCCAAACCATCTAGTAAAAGTCTCTGCATTACTAGCCCTTGAAATCTTCTGTATTTGCAAATGAATTAATTGGTATAAAGGAATTAGAATTAAGCTATAGTCATGATTAATATCAGGTGAAGCTTTACATTTTCATGTACACTAAAGAGTATCTACTTTGAAAACTTGCTCCAAATGTATACTAATTTCTCACAATTTGTCTCTCTTATGTGGCAAGCTGAATGTTGTCTGTTGAATTTGAATTCCTTAAAAGGATGTAATAGGGAAATTAAGCTTTCTATGTGATTTCTAAAGAAATGCCCCAGAATATAAATTCAAACTAACAAAATAAAATATATCTTTTAAGTGAAGAACAATGTGGTTACCAATAAAATGAACGCAGCATATTTGTAGGGCCTATAAATGGCTGGTCATAAGACAACTTCTTGGCATAAGCATTTGGATTCTTGCAGAGTCGGGCTTTCTGTTTTGGAAATGGATCACATCACAGATTTTGAAAATGAGTGGTGTTATTCTTGACTCTTTCAAAATATATCCTTCTGACCTTTCAGTTCCCTGCACCTTCTCTGCTGCTATCACAAGTCAAACTTGGTTAAGGGAAATATATTAATAGTAAAACTATTTTAGCCATCTACTTTCCTTTCCTACTTCCAAAACAAATTAAACACTTTCAAGGATTTATATAAACCTCTCCCATAAAGCTGATAAAAGCTATGAAACTAAATATTTATTAAAGTTTTTGGAAAAAAATTCTATTTTTGGATTCCTACTCTGTAATATTTATAAAGTGATTTGAAGGAAAAAAGACCGGGTAGAACTAAAAGTGAATGCCAGTGATTGTTAATAATCCTATCATGTCTGCAGCAGTCTCTATTGACTTATAGTTAAATGGAATCCTTCATTGTATCATAGCTATTTTTCTCCTTTTGCTGAAAATTGTTAGGTGGTGGGGCATTGCCTTTACAAAACTATCAAATTACTGGGATTCCATTTTTGATAAAATGACATTTTGACAGTCTAATCTTTTATTTTAATCTGAATCTTCCATCAAATCAGCTATTATGATTAAATTAAAATCCTGAACTAATCTTTTCAGCACATATACAAAAAGTAATTATCTCTGTTGAATTTGTGTGATTTGTAAAGACCTGAACTTTTTGCTGGCTCTTACATGATATTTTGGCTAACAAAATTATTAAATTTCTCCTCACTCCTCTCCTTTTTTTTTTTTAAGAGACTAGGTCTTGCTCTGTATCCAGGCTAGAGTGCAGTGGCACAATCATAGCTCGCTATAGCCTCTCACTTCTGGGCTCAAGCCATCCTTCTGCCTCAGCCTCTGGAGTAGCTAGGACTACAGGCATGCACCACCATGCCCGGCTAATTTTTCTATTTTTTGTAGAAATGACGTCTCACTATGTTGCTCAAGCTGGCGTAGAACTCGTGGCCTCAAGCAATCCTGCTTTGGCCTCTCAAAGTGCTGGGATTGTAGGTGTGAGCCACCATGCCGAGCTGATTTTAAATGTATAAAATGAGCGTGCTTCTTTGGCTTTTGCTGGAAATTGAATTGACTATGTTAAAAGGAAAACTTTATAGAAATTAAACTTGGCAGAGTTTATTTGAGGAAAGAAATGATTCATGAATTGGGCAGCACTGAGAGCTTCACTCAGCAAGATGGGCAGGCCGTATTTATAGACAGAAAAAGGAAGTGACGTACAGAAATAGCCTGATTGGTTACAGCTCTGTGTTTGCATTATTTGGACATGTCTGAGCAGTTTTCAACCTGTAATTGGCTGAAAGCTGGGCTGCTATGATTGGCTGAGACTTGGTTTCTTATTACATGAATATACTATCAAATTAGGTTGTGGTTTGTTTGTATATTAAGTTAGGTTACAGCTTGCTATGGATGGAGGCAGCTTTAGACCAAATTTAATTTAACAACAACAAAGCCATTGTCTAAAGAGGATGTTACTTTATATTTAAACAGCAGTTTTTTTATTCTTGGTCTCAGGAAGATTATGAGGCTGAGACAAGAAGCGAATCTAACGCTTGGTAACTGGTTTCAAGATTAGAAATGAGAGATTCCCAGTTATTGCGCTGTAGGCTGCTGCTTTATCCATCTGAATGGTAGAGGTTAATGTTCTCTTTCATGTCCATTTTATAAGATTCTGAATGAATTTTGGAGTGTAAAAATCTTTTATTAATATTGACAACAATGATAATAATGGCAAGTCAGTGGTATTGGTTTTTACCAAGGCATAAATACTTCTGTAATTTCTATTACACATTTATTTTTTAAGCTAATATATCCAACATACGAGAAATCAAAACCCCACCCCACAGGTGACTATTTGTTTTATGCCTGTCATTCCAGTGTTCCTTCATGCAGATCCAAATGTTTATTATTTCCCTCCTTTATACAAAGGTAGCATTCTTTATATTATTCTACACCTTGTTTTTTCTACTTAGTCATATATCTTAGTGATTTTTCCTTGTCTTGACATACAGATTCTTTTAAAGGGCACATTTATGTAGTATTCCATTAGGGAGCTATACCACTGTTTATTTGTTAATGTAACCGTTAACAAGTGGTTATTTTGGCCATGGTTAAGGAAATGAGTTCCCTGTTAACGGACGTTTGGGTTATTTACAAGCTGTTGCTATTAGAAATAATACTATAGCAAATATTCTTTAGAATATAAGTGGATGTAGGTATTCCCAGTAACAGGGTTATTGGATAAAAGGGTAATTTCCCAGGATTTCTCCAGGCACTGGCCATGTTAAGGTGATACCGTCTCTGGCTGTGCCTTTACGGAACTGGAGCCAGGACAGACACACAAGTAAAAAGTCAATTGGCATATGGATGATAACTTTTGTTGGTAGTGCCAGGTTCAATGGGAGCCCAGAGTTGGAGTATTTATCATAAACGAGGTGGGTAGATAGGGAATGGTACAGGGAAGGAAGACTACTAAAAGAGCCAGACTTGTGTTGGATCTTAAAGAATAAGAATATATTAGCCAAGCCCAGCGATCTGTTTTAATAAGTACACCAGGTGATTCTGATGCACACTCCAGTTCGAAAACCATCGCTCTAGGCAGAGGTTGGCAAACAATTGTTCTTATAAATAAGACGCAAGGTTCTAGTCAGAGACTCAAGTTTGTGATTCTGACTGTAAGTTCTGATGGAGTTTCTTTCTGGATCTGAGCCAATCAATCCCATGTGAGATTTTTATTGTTATTTTAAACTAGTGCTTCACTTAAAAACAAAGGCGCCATCATCCTCCATTGTAACCAAGGAAATGCAAATTGAAAGCAAAGTGAGATAAATTGTTCAGATACCAGATTGGCACAAATGGAAAGCTCTTACATGACTTGAGTCTTGGTGAGGATGGTGCACCTGCGAGGTGGCGCAAGTTGGTGAAACCACTTCGGCATTACCTGATACAGCTCAATGTTTGCATACTCGTGGCCCAGCAATTCTAGTGCTAGGTATATATCCCTAGGCATGGGTCAGCAAACGTTTAATTAGAGCTCAAAAAAATTGAGCTCTAAATTCAACTCGATTCTCTTTGATTCTTGTTTGGTGGTTGCTTTTTGTAGGTCTACCCTGCTGTCCAGTCCTGCCCAGGTACCTTCCCCCTCCAGCCTCAGTTGCCCCAATTGTTTTGTGACAAAGTTTCCAGTCCTGTCACCCTTCTGGTTGCTTCACATTGTTTTGGTCTGTTTTGGTTTTTTAATTTTTGAAAGTGCAGTATCCAAACCTCAGTTCAGTGTGCAGTCGGTCGGCAGGACAGCTTTCAGCACTACAAACATAGCAGCTTGGGAAGATCTAGGAACTAGGGGAAGGCAGGGATGTTCTGAAGGTTTGTGCACCTCCCTCCTGCTTCCTCACATTCCCTCTCACTTGCCCATTTAGTCCAGCAAGAATGCACTGGCTTCCACGTTTTGGTTCCGCTGCGTATGAAAGTAGTTTTGATCAATACATTTATTTTAACAAGATTATTTGACTAAAATAGTATATGTATTTATATATTTTAGTAGGATTTTCCACCTGCAATTCACATAAGAGTGATTCCTGATCTATGCATCTTAATTCGAGGCAGTTTGAAATCGTTAGCTCATCATTAGAGTAGACAATAGCAAATATTAGTTTAGAATAAATCGTATTTTACTGGTTAGATTATGAATTATGTTACAAAATTCATATGATATCTTTACGAATATCATTACCCTTTATTGCTGATGTTTTTTCTCCTCTCAAAATAACATCATTTTATAATAAAGTTTCCCCCCCTCTTTCTATTTTAGTGGAGAAACAAGATTTAACAAGGAGAAAATAATTCAAGGTTGGTATAATCCGATTGTTATTTTAGCTCTCTCCCCTAATGTGATATACGAGTTAATCGGATTTGCTGGGGTGGAGAGGGCTCTGCTGTGGATTGGGATTGCAGAATTAAACCATCGTAACCAGAGAATATGATCAGAGCAGTTGGTAACCAAGAGGAACAAATCTCATAAGTGAACTGGATGTAATAGTCTCCAAGTTATCCTTTATGTGTGGCTTCAAAGTGCCCAGTCAGCTGATTAAAGAATTATATTGGCTCTAGGTATCTTAAAATATAACTGTCTGGATTTAGAATGATTTCATATTTGGATACCTCGAATTTACTGGCTGGTATTAATGGTATTTTTCTGCTAAGATAGTTCTTTTAGTAGTAAAAAAGAAGAGGTTTAAAGAGAACTTTTATTTTCATATAAGATTATTTATTCTGAAGAGATTCTTCCTTTGTTCTGTTAACTTGAACTCATCTTTCAATTGCCCTATGGTCCAGCTAGTCTGGCTTTTTAAGACTATCTCGGGTGAACTTTTGGCTAGACATCCTATTTCTGTGCTGTGACTGTAAAAGCATTTAGTTTTGCTTTTTTTGGGTAGGGACTTCTGGGATTTACGGAAACTGATTTTCACACCCATGTGCCTGACTTGCTTTTCTGGAGATGAGCTGGTCTGCTGCTTAAGTGAACCTTTTATTTTAGATGTGCGCCCCACCCAAGTTACCCTCAGGACTGAAGCCCCTTACCACCTGTCCTTTGGCATTTATTGCTCATTTGTCTTATTTCATGAGAAGCTGACAATGGAGCGTAAATGAGTTTTGTGTTCACACTTGTTTTTAGGTTTGTTTTGTGTTCTTTTTCTGACCTTGTAGTTCTTGATGTTATTTTGTTTTTTAAGCTTTCAAGGCTTATGTATTTCTAAGTACCATTTTTATAGCATAGCCACAGTTTTCATATGTGGTCATTTCACAAGCATTCAGCACCAAGTATTTTAAATTTCCATTGTGATTGACTTCCAATTTAATTGCTCTGACAATATGGTTTATTTGATAATACTTTGAAATTTGTTAACATGGTCAGTTTTTATAATTTTTCCGTTATGTGCGTAAGAAAAATTTATTTTCTCTAATTGTTGGAATTGAAGTTATATCTCAAATAACCTTATTGATTTTGTTTGTCAAATCTTCTGCACTTTGCTAATTTTTAGAATTTGCTAATTTGCTTGTATGAGCAAGCAAATATCAATTTTTGAGTGAGATATCTTGAATTTCTTACTGTGGTACCCAGTTTATCCTTTAGTACTTGAAATTCTATCAATTTTATTTATACATTCTGCTTTTATATGCATTGGGTCTATTTTATAGGCATATACAAATTCAAAGTTGTTACATCCTCTAAGTGAATTGGGTCTTTATTTATAGCGATTCCACAGTCCTGTTAAGACTCTTGTCATGAAGCCCTGCTTTTCTCACAGCGATACGGCTACTCCAGCTGTTTGGGGTTGGAGTTTTCCTGGAATGTATTTTTCCATCCCATTCCTTTCAGCCTTCCTGTGTACTCATGTTTTAAGTGTTATCTCATAAATAGTATTTAGCTGAATTTTGGTTCTTCTTTTTTAAAAAAACAATCTTTTAATTGGCGATAGTCTGTTCACCTTTGTTCTGGTTACTGATATGTTTGGATTCTTTTTTGTTGTTTTTTTTCCCCTTTTTTCTAGTCTTCCTTTTTCTTCTTACTTTCTTTTACTTAAGTGTTTTTCTTTTTTTCCTTATTCAGTCTTCTCTTACCTTCCTTACTGTCTTTGAAATGATATACCATTTTTATTCTTTTAATGGTTACCTTTAAATTTTTTTACCATTTATACTCGTCACAGTCAGTTTGGGCTGCTGTAACATGTTACCATAGATGGGATGTTTTAAACAACACACATGTATTTCTTATGGTCCTGGAGGCTGGGAGTCTAAGATCAGGGTGCTGGCAGATCTGGGGCTGGGTGAGGGCCTGCTTCCCACTTTGCAGACTGCTGTCTGCTGGTTATATCTTGACACGACAGATAGCAGAGAGAAAGGGCCCTTTTTTTTTTTTTGAGTCATACTCGCTCTGTTGCCCCCCACAGTGCCATGGCGTTAGCCTAGCTCACAGCAACCTCAAACTCCTGGGCTCAAGCAATCCTCCTGCCTCAGCTTCCCAAGTAGCTGGGACTACAGATCACGCCACCATGCCCAGCTAATTTTTCTATTTTTAGTAGAGGCAGGTCTTGTTCTTGCTCAGACGGGTCTTGAACTCCTGACCTCAAGCAATTCTCCCACCTCAGCCTCCCAGAGTGCTAGGATTACAGGCCTGAGCCACTGTGCCTGGCCTGGCCGCGACAAAGGGCACTTAAAAAGGATGTACATTCCAAAGGCTCTACCTTGTGATCTCATCACTGCCAAAGGCTCCCCCCTCCTAATACCAGCACATTGTAGGGTAGGATTTTAACAGATGAATTTGGGGGAGACATAAGCATTCATTCTAACAATACCTAATGAAATATAATATTAATATCCCCTCTCCTGAAAACTATGAAGAACTAAGATCTGTCTAGTATCTTAGTCCTGTCCTTTTTTTAACCACCTTACACAGGCTTTATTGTCTTCATTTGTTATTTGATTTGCATCTACATGCCAGTCTCTCTGCTCATCATTTTTTTTTTTTTTGCATCTCAGACCTTCATTTCTCAAGCACATTCTTTGAAAGATCTCCTAGTATACATAGCTTGGCTGATGGTAAAAATAGTTGCGATTAGTACACAATTGTAGACTGATGGTTCTCTCAGCACTTGGAAGATGATATTCTGTTGTTTGGTTTCTGTTCCTGTTAAGAAGTCTCTGTCAGCCAAATGGTTTCCATGGTAGATAATCTGTCTTTCTCCCTAACTGCTTTTAAACTATTCACTTTAATTTTGGTGTTCTTCAGTGTCCCTTAATATATCTAGGAGGGATTTTTTTTTTTTTTTAATTATCCTGCTTGATGTACATTGCATTTCCTTTATCTGTAGACTTTTGTCTTTCCTCATTTCTAGAAAATTCTCTCTTCATTATCTCTTCATATTTCTCTCTTCCATTTCCTCTATTCTTTCTTGAGTTCCGGTTAGATGTGTGATACGGACTGAATATTTGTGTCTTCCCCAAATTCATAGGTTGAAATCCAATGTGATGGTATTAGGAGGTGAGGTCTTTGGGAGGTGATGTGGTCATGAGGGTGCAGGCCCTCATGAATGGACTTATATTAATAAAAGGGAGGCCAGAGAATACTCTTGCCCTTTTTCTGTCACGTGAGTTTACAAGGAGAAGTTGACAGTCTGCAGCCTAGAAGAGGGTCCTCACCAGCACCCAACCTTGCTACGCCCTGATTCCAAACTTCCAGCCTTCAGAACTGTGAGAAATGTCTGTTGTTGAGAAGCCACCCAATCTGTAGCACTTTGTTTTAGCAGCCTGAAAATTAAGACAACACATGTTAGGAATTCACATTTTTTTCTTTATATCTCTAATCTATCTGAGCTACAGCCCATCTCCTCATATCTGTGCTGCATTCTGGGTAATATCTTCAACCCTGTCTTTGAGTTCATTAAACCTCCCCTCAACCAGATCTCCCTCTATCCATTGAGGGTTTCCCCTCAGCAATTCTATTTTTCATTACTAAAACATCGATTTGGTTCTTGTAGAAAGCTGTCCTGTTGTTTTTGATGCTTCCTGTTAATTTCTTATTTTTGTGATTCTATCTTTATGTTTTATTTATAGTTATTTTGCAATCTGTATTTGTTGGTTTCAATATCTGAACTCTTAATGGTTCTAAATCTATTATTTGTTGTTTCTGCTGACTTTCATTCATGATGGATTATTTTCTTGTGTGTTGACTCTTTGGCTAACCTATTATTTGCTCAAATCAGTAGAAAACTTGTTAGCCTTCGTTGAGAATGATTTGCTCTGAATAGGATTTGCATTTGATTTGACCACTGGCCTGAGACTCCGTTAGCCTTCTTACAGGATTCCTTGCTTCCAAGAGTGGGTTTGGTCCTTCCGCCTTGCTGTCCCACGCAGCAGTTTCCTCCCCACTCCACAGCTTGCGCTGATACCACAGCAACCCCACTTTTCTTGTGTCAGTATTCATGTTCCAGCTCAGGGTTTTTTGGCTGCTTTGCCCCTTGGAGGTCTTCCTTACATCCTGTGAGCCCAGCAGTGCAACACACACACACACAATTTGGTTCTTTTGTAGTATATAGAAGGTCCCTTCACGGTGTTGAATCAGCCTTTCTCTTGGAAGTGGAGATTCCAGCGCATTTTTAAAATGAAGAAAAAGAAAGAGAAAGGGAGAGAGGAAAGAAGAGTAATACCATTACAATACTGAACATTTGGACAATGTGGATAAAGCAGGAGAAACTTCTAGGTGATGATGCTACCACCCTGACATAGCACCCGAAGATCAGAGCCAGCTTTTGTAAAATACAAGTGGTGAGGAGATCAAACATAAAGAGGGAAAGGCTAAGACATGTATTCTCATCATCACTTGGTTCCCATTAGGCAAGCATTCTTTTGGAAAACATTTGAATACCTGCACCTTTATAGACTTATATTGATAGCTTAGTATTACTTGCTCTTGGCTCTCTGGAAAGTACTGAAGAAGATCTTTTATTAAAATATAGATAAATGCAACTGATATTCTCTTAAATGTGATTTACTTTGCATCCCTTATATATATGTTTTTGAATATTATTGTTGCTCTTCTTAATACCACAGGACAAGGAATAGATGAACCTCTTTCAGAAACTGGATTTAAACAAGCAGCTGCTGCTGGTATATTTCTGAGTAATGTAAGATTTACTCATGCTTTCTCCAGTGACCTCATGAGGACAAAGCAGGTAAGTTCAGAGTCAAGGCTCATGGGTCAAAAGTCTAAACAATTGTGTAATCTTGAAAAATCTACCAGCCTCTGTAAGGAATTAAATCACACACAGACATCACCCTTAACCCCCATCACTCTCCAACAGAACTTTCTTTTTTTTCCGTTTCTTTTTACTTTGTCCTCCGTGTTTTTTTCTGTAATTTCTAAATTACAGTAGCTTAGAAGAAAAGGTCTAACGAGAATACAAATAAGGTATCATGAGAGAGAGCCAGCAGAAACAACAGACAGGAGAAGTTAACCCACAAAGATGTTCAGATGTTCAGAATTATCAGATATAGTAAAAACAAACAAACAAACAAACAAAAACACGCTATGTTACTATTACTATAAAGAAATAGAAGACATGTTAGAAATATCTTTAGGGAACAGATTACTATAAAAACGACCCCATAAACTTAGAAAAGAACCAAATCAATTTCTAAAAACTCAATGGAAGGAGATTTTTTTGACCAACCAAGAGGGAATAATAATAGGGTTGGCATTTTGCCGCCCTCATAAACAAACTTAAAATTTATGAGAGCCCTGAACAGAGAAAGAACTCTAGCAGTATGTGTAAGGATCCCCTTAAATCTTTGGTGGATTATTAATCTGTACATGTATAGGGTGAAACTACACGAGGCCAGGCAAAACACAGATTCAAGGTAGAGAACAATTACTGGGGCGCTATAAGCAGAACATTTCCTAGAGCTCACACAGGGTAGGGAATCATTTGATTTCCTACCAGCTAAAGTGGAGAGATTTTCTTGAATACATACAGCATATAGTAGAGATTCCAGAAGGATCCCACCTTAATAGTAAGGCTAAACTAACCTTAGAGGAAAATAATGAGGAGAGAAATAGAAAATACAAAAAAAAATTTTTTTTGAAGAACCAAATTGATCGAGAGATGAAAAATACAATATTCTGTAATGAAAATTGTACAAGGTAGGATTAACAGCTGATTAGACGCTGTAGGAGAAGAGGTCAGTGACTGTGAAGACATAGTGACAGAACATTCTAAAATTAGCTTTAGAAAGAAAAAAGGCTAAAATGGGACAAACAGAGTCTCAGTGAAGTATGGGACAATATCAAGCAATCTAATATACGTGTAGTTGGAGTCCCAAAAAGATAATGGAGAAGTGGAGGTGGGGGTGAGTGTGAAGATTTAAAAACTGTTTTTGAAGAAATAATAACTAAGAATTTTCCAAATCTATACCCAGTGAGAGTACTTTTAAAATAGGTGAAATACAGAATTTTTTTTAAGCAAAAGTTGAGGGACCAGAAATGGAACCACACTTATTATAGTCAGTTGTTATTTTGTTTTTGTGTTTTTGGTCAAATTAAATTTTGACAGAGGTGCCAAGGTAATTCAGTGGAGAAAGGGTATCTTTTCAATAAGTGGTGATGAAATATGGGATGGCCATACAGGAAAATGTGAACTTTCACCCTTACTCACACCATGTACATAAAGTAACTCAAAATTGATTATGAAACAAATCTAAAAGCTAAATTTATAAAATTTCTTTGAAGAAACACCGGAGAAAAACCTTACGGCTGTGGGTTGGCCCGAGATTTAGTAGGACAAAACATGAACCATAAAAGAAAAGTTTGATAAATTGGGTTTTATCCAAATTAACATTCCTTGTTCTATGAAGGATTAAGAAATTGAAAAGGCAAGCCACAGATTGGGAGAAAATTATAAATAAGTGTATTATATTAATATATAATGTATGTCACCTATGAGTGTGTGTATATATTTGACAAACTGTGTGTGAGTGTAAATTTTTTAACTCAGTAATTAGACAAACACCTGACTTGAAAGTAGGCAAAAGATTTGAATTTGACCAGATACTTGACAAAAGAAAATGTATGGAAGGTGAGTAAACGGGTGAAAAGATGCTCAAGCAGCACTGATCATCACAGAAATGCAAATTAAAGCCACAGTGAAATACTACTGCACACACCTTTGAATGGCTAAAATTAAAAATATAAAAGGATGTGGAGCATCTAGAAGTCATACATTGCTGATGAGAATGTAAAATGAACCAACTGCTTTGACAGTTTATCATACACTTACTGTATCATCCAGCAGTTTCAGTTCTAGAAATTCATCCAGGACAAGTAAGAATATATGTCTACACAAAGACTTGTACACAATTGTTTAATAGCAGCTTTATTTGTAACAGCCAAAACAACCCACATATCCATCGGTAGGTGAATGGATAAATGAGCCATGGCATATTCATACCATGGAATACAACTGAGCAATGAAGACTGAATTACTGATACGTGCATCAGCATGGATGAGTCTCAGAAACATGCTAAGCAGAAGAAGCCAGACACGAACATACCGCGTGATTCCTTTTATATGGAACTCTAGAAAAGACGAGACTGTAGTTATATAAAGCAGATTGGTGGTTGCTTGGGGCCAGAAGTGGAAGAGATTTACAGGAGTTACCTGATTACTGGAGTTATCAAACATAGACTTTAAAAATAACCATTTAATACATAGGTGGAAGACGACATCAAGAATTTTAGCAGAGAACTGTAAACAATAAACTGTAAATAAGAACCAAATGCAAATTCTGGAACTAAAAATATAACTGAAATTAAGGCTTAATGGATGAGCTTAATAGCAATTTAGACACATTTGAATGGAGAATTAAGGAGCTACAACAGTGGTTAGTAAACCTTTTCTGTAAGGAGCCAGATAATAAATATTTTAGGTCTTACGGTGTGTATGGTCCCTGTCACAACTGTTCAGTTCTGCTGGTGTAGTGGTTAAGCAGCCACAGGCAATACATAGATGAGCGGTGTGGCTGTGTTCTAATAAAAGACTTCATTGACAAAAGTAGATGAAGGTCTGGATTTGGCCTGTGGGCTGTAGTTTGCTGACCTCGGAACTAGAAGATAGGTTAGAAGAAAATATCAAAATCAGGCATGAAGAGACAAAAGGATAAGCAGTATAGAAGAGAGGCAATTTTTGCAAAGGAAAATTATTGCTAGTTCTTTTTTATTCAATAAGATGACATGTATTATTTTGATGTTTCAGCCAGAATGGTGATTATTTTTATAAGAAAAGAAACAGTTGTCTTTTGATTTTCAGACCATGCATGGAATTTTGGAGAAAAGCAAATTTTGCAAAGATATGACAGTAAAGTATGATTCAAGACTTCGAGAAAGAGTAAGTAACTTATTTACATATTGTTCTTTACTATAAATTTTCAGTAAGCCACCTCAGCTGATTACATGGCTAAAAATTAAATACATTCCTGTTGAGATTTGGAATTGGCAAGCATGTTAAGAATCTACCCTGTGACAGTCACTGTTACATAGTCTCATGTATAGCATCTTGTTTAATTATTAAAATTATGAGATAAGTGTCTTAAATTATAAAAGTAAGTATCCTTGTAGGAACTTAACACAGTATGGAAGAGTTTAAAGTAAAAGTGGAAATTATGAATATTGTGTAATTTATGTAACCCAGCTACTACTAATGGACATATAGGTTGTGACTAGATTTCCCTGATGTAAAAAATGTTAAAATAAACATCTTTGCAGTTAATTCTTTTTAGACCTATTTAATACATTTCTAGAAATGGACATTGCTGAATATGTACATTTTTTAAGGCCTTTATCCATGTTGCAAAATTGCCTTCTAGAAAAGCTGTGTCAACTTATAGTCCCGTAAATGATCTAGGAGAAAGTTTTGTTTTTTTCACATCAACACTTGATATTATTAAGTCTCTTTGATTGTCCAATTTAATAGCTTAAAAATGGTATCATATTAATTTTTACATTATTGATTTCTAACAAAAGATCTCCCATGTTTCTTGGCCATTTATATTTCTTTTGTGATGTATGTGTTCTTTGCTCGGGCTCAATCTTAACGACTCTAGGAAGCTAATGGGCTTTGAAATCACAAAGATCTGGGTTTGAATTTGAACTTTGCTAATTACTGGCCGTGAGAAAGGGCCAAGATGTGATGGCTCACCCCTGTAATCCTAGCACTTTGGAAGACTGAGGTAGGAGGATTGCTTGAGGCCAGGAGTTTGAGACCAGCCTGAGCAACATGGTGAGACCCCATCTCTACAAAAAAATAGAAAAATTAGCCAGGCATGGTGGTGCACACCTGCAGTCTCAGCTACTCAGGAGGCTGAGGAGCGAGGATCGCTTGAGCCCAGGAATTGGAGGTTGCAGGGAGCTATGATGACGCCTTTGCACTCTAGCCCGGGTGACAGAGCGAGACTCTGTCTCAGAAACAAAACAAACAAAAAAGATTCAACTGTATTTTCTAGGTCCATGGCCCTCTACTGAGTATATTTCCATTATCAGGTCAGAGAAGGTGTGATAACGTAAATGGAGGAAGCTAAGCTTATTCTTAGGTTGATTGTTTGGAATTTGATTGCTATTACAAATGCATTGTAAATACACATGTATTTAATTGTTATATTGCAAATTCATTTGAGGCACTGTTATCTCTTGGAACGTTGCAGAGATACGGGATTGTAGAAGGCCAGGCACTGAGTAAGCTGCTGGCCATGGCCAAAGCGGCTGGGGAAGAATGCCCTGCATTCACACCGCCTGGAGGAGAGACCATAGACCAGGTGTGTAGCACTGCCGGCGTCACAATGGCTGAAATCGGACTCGTTTTATAAATTAGATGTTTCTGTATTTTAGCCAACCAGTTTGAAAAATTGCTTGGTTAATAAAGTAATACGGCACATACCATTTCTCTTCTCCTTTTTAAATTATCCTTTCTCATTTATTGTTAAGTTGGCCGTCATTACTGATAATGCGCTTAAGGAAATGTGTTATTGGATTGTAATTCTAAGAAAAATCTCTGACCCTGAAGCGCTGGGGTTAGCAGTGGTGGTGTTCAAGGAGGATGATAGGCAAGTCACCCAAGAAGCAAAATAATTTAAAACATGAAATCTTCAAGCCTCTACTGCCTCTTCAGCTCTGTTGGTGACATCACACTGTGCTTGTATTTGTTTGGAGCGTTGTGCTTTGAATTGCGTTATTGGTGTTTTTTCACCTCTAGTCTTTATTTTCATAATTTTCTTGTAAAGAGTTCGTATTACTTTTTAGTAAGGGAAAGATCTGTTGCTGTTGTGTTCCGGCTGCACCGAAGGGCCAGGTGTCGTTTCCTGGTTACCATTCCTTTGCGCGTTTCAGTTTACTTGCGGATTTCCCTACCTCCACCGTGAGTGCTTTGAAGTCAGGGATGGGAACTGTGTCTTACTCACCTTCTGTGCCCAGTGTGATTCCATAGTTCCAGCAGTGTGGTGGGTACTCACTTATGCCCGTGGAACTAACTGCTGATTGGATGGTTAGAAATGGAGATGAGTATCTGCTCATGAAGTACTTATGTTGACATAGTTGAAAAAAATCCAGTCAGTTATGTTCTAAGGAAATCATTAATGTCCCTTTATTTCACCTTTTATTTCTTTCCTTACAGGTGAAAATGCGTGGAAAAGACTTCTTTGAATTTCTTTGCCAACTAATTCTGAAAGAATCAGCTCAAAAAGAACAGTTTTCCCATGGAACTCCAAGCAACTGTCTGGAAACTTCTTTGGCAGAGATATTCCCTTTAGGAAAAAACCGTGGCTCTGAGTTGAATTCAGACGGCAGTGCGCGAGGGTTAGCGGCCAGTGTCCTAGTTGTGAGTCATGGCGCTTACATGAAAAGCCTATTCGATTATTTTCTGACTGACCTCACGTGTTACTTACCAGCAACTGTGAGCAAATCCAAACTTGTATCAGTCACTCCCAATACAGGGATTAGTTTCTTTGTCATAAACTTTGAGGAAGGAAGAGAAGTTAAACCAACAATTCAGTGTATTTGTACGAGCTTACAGGATCATCTAAGTGGAGCAGCTGAAACTCGCTAAGTTTAAAGTTACAACAAAATCTAAGAATTTTGAGCCTCTGAAAGGAGTGCTTTTGACTTTATTTACTTCTGTTCTCTGCTAGTGCTGATTTGGAAACTGTTAACAGCCAATTATAAAGTTCAAGTGGAATTATAGCCACATAAAACTCTAATGGAAAACCATTTAGGATTGACTTATTTTGTCTGAGTACAGTTGGCGTTTTCCAGGGTAATTTTACCACCCTGCTCAGTTACAGCTCAGAATTGTAAATGGATGAAGGAACTCAGTATTGCAAGTGGGGGATTAATAACTTTGTTAGTGTGCTTTTTTTAATGTCAATATTTTTCTTTAATTTCTCAAAAATCTAGCATATCTTATTGATGGTTGGTAAAATACTGTGTTTTTTACTGTCTCATCCAGCGCTTGGAAGGAACACTTCATAATTCACACTGCATATTTATGACGACTATGTGTTATATTTAAAAATCCTTCAAAGGAAAGAGTCTTATCATCATAAGTTTATGTAAAGTGAAATGACACTAAAATGCTTTACATATAAATCAACTGTTGGAATTTGTCATTCTGGAGGGCTTAAAATATGGAAATGTGGAGGAATACAGATAATGTTTGCAGAATGGTCTGGGGGAAAGAAGTTAAAATATTATTTGATTAAACAACATTAAAGAAGAAATCTTTGAGCAGAAAATAAAAGAATATCCTTTTCTAAACAATTCCTTCAAAAGGCAAACCTGGAAAGCCAAAGAAAAGGTTTGACTAAGAGAATGAAGAAAAATATCCACTTGCTTCTTATCTAACCTGTAGGCTAAAGAATTTCCAGTTTGAGGAAGGCTTTAAAGGAAGTAAACACTTAATAGTACACTCCATAGTAACCTCAGAATAAAAGAGGGAGTTTCCTTGTGAAGAATGGTGCTCTGACCACATCTGTGGTTATCTTGTGGAAGGTACAGGTGAGGCTGCCTCTTCTTTCCACCAGATGGCACTAGAGGAAAGGGATTTTGGTTAGTTTAATTTTGTCCAGAAGATTGGTCCTCCAAAAATCCTTATCTAAATGAAGAAAGTATTTTACATGTAGTTGCTTTTAAGTCACCATGTTGATGAAGCTGTGTGAGTCTCAACTTCTAAGAGGATTAATGCCAAGGTTGTCAGTGAAGGCTAAAATCACATATAGTCAAAATTTACTTTGGGCATCACGTGAGTCGTGTGTGAGGTTCAGTATCGTACTGCTTTCAGAGTGTCCAGCATGACCAGTTCTCCCAGCATTGGAACAGTGCCTGCGTTTGAGCACCAGAGGAAGTGTATTGTAAATAAAAACTTGAAAAATAACTGAAAAGGACAAACAATATCCCACTGCACATTACTACCATACAGAAGTAATCTTTCTTTCTTTTTTTATAAAGAAACAAAATATTATTAATAAGATGTGAGTATAGTTCCCTTTACCCGGTTCTCCCAGTTCTGTTCCCCTGCAGAGGCAACCATGGCATTTTCACTTAGTATCTATAAGGATACTAGTGGTATTGTTTGGTGCTTTAAAAATTACATAAACATCATCAAGCTATCTATGTCCTTTATTTTTATTATGTCTGGGGCTCTATGTTGATACGTATAGATCTAGTTAATTATAAACACTATATTGAATAAATGTAGCACATTTTATTTATTTTTCTATTAGTGGCATTCAGGTATATTCAATATTTTCTTATAGAAACAATGCTACAGAGAACAGTCTTGCATCACTCCTTGTGCCGTGTCAAAAGAGCTACATCTCCAAGTTTCACAGGAGCCAAATGGCTCTGCACAGTGGGTTTACTGTTTTTCAGTCCCACTAGCAGTATTCAAATCTCCTGTTTTCCACATCCTTGTCAACACTTGATACTGTCTGACTAGTTTTTGCTAATATGATAAGTAAAAAATATCTCATTTTAATAAGCTCTTCTGTGGTTGTTAATGAGTCTGGGCATTTTTTTCATGTGTATATTGACAATTCTGATATTTCCTCACTGGTGAATCACTGTTACATACTCATTGCCTGCTGTTCCATCAAGCTGTTTGTGTTTTTCTTGGTGAGTTGCAGGAGTAGTTTGACTATTCTGGATACTAGTCCTCCTTCTGTTATATACATGGCAAATATCTTCCAGTTTGTTACCTGTCTTTTAGACTGGTGTATGATGCATTTTTTGTGTTTTTAATTTTTGAGACAAACCAATACATCTTGTTCTTTATGGGTTGTATTGCTTTTGGTTTTCTTTTTTTTTTTTTTTCGGTGTGTATCTTTAAGAAGACTTCTCTATCATGAGGTCATACAATAATCTTCCGTTTTTTTTTACAGTTTTATAGGACTTTTCAATGTCAAATCTTGAAATTATCTGGATTTTATTTTTTATAGTGTAAGGGGAGAATTCAGTTTTATGAGTTTTTTTCCCACGTGGGTGAAATAGTTACCACAACGTCATTATTAAGACTCTGTCCCTTCCCAGTTGATGTATGATTCTACACTGTCATACCCTCACGCACCCATATTTGCTGGAGTCCACGGACTCTGTTCTGTTTTGGTTAACTTTGTATTCCCAGATCAGTGTCATACGTAGTTACTGTGGCTTCACAACTGAGTATCCATAGGGTGAATACTTCTTCTTGTTCATTTTAATAGTTATCTTAGCTATTTGTGCATCTTTATTCCATATAAATTTTGGAATTCATCGGTCAATTTCCAGAAAAATTCTGTTGCACGTTTTATTGGAGTCACATGTATTTGTTCAGTGATCTAGTCATTTAAAACGTATTTTTTGAGCATGGCACACATGTCAGGCTACTATAAGAACTATTGAAACTAGTATAAGAACTGTGAATATATAGCAATGAACAAAAAATGGACTAAGTCCCTGTGCTTTGGAATTCATGTTATATCCAGGAAGACGGTATAACGTGTCAGGTTGTGGTCAGTGCTGTTGAGCAAACTAGGGCAGGGGCAGGGGAACAGACTGGCGGGAGGAATGCTGCTGTATTTGGGGTGAGCGGGGCAGGACAGTCAGAGTACTGAAGGGAGTGAGATCTACTGCTCTCCGGAGAGAAATCAGACGAAATCAGACGGAAGGAGCAGGTAGTGTCCTGAGGCGGGATCAGGCTTGACCCATTTGAGCAAGAGGGATGGGAAAGTGACAGGACAGAGCTGAGGGGAAGGAGAAGCACACAGGTATAGGTGGCCTGGCCGCCTGTGCTAAGGATCTGGGCTTTGACCCAAGTGAGATGGGTTGCCTTTGGCCAGTTTTGGGCAGAAAAGTGAAGCGATCAGACTTGTTTCAATAGGACCACCCTGGTTGCACTGTAGGGGCACGGTAGGCGCACCAGGCTGGAGGCAGGGATAATGGCAGCCAGCTTCTGGCTACTCAAGGAAATGAGAGGTTGGCAGGGACCTGGCCAGACTAAGGAG